TCCCCACCAGTGTGTCTCTAGATGTCCCCACCAGTGTGTCACTAGATGTCCCCACCAGTGTGTCTCTAGATGGCGCTCTCCGGCCCAGTACGGGCGTCAACACAACACTCGCTGTCCCCCGCCAGGGCCCGCCACTCATAAACTGATTAATAACAGTAATAACACCGGGTATCTGGTGTGGGGGGGGAGAGGGGGGGACGATAAACGGCAGGGTTCCGCGGGCTCTTGTGCTGTGCTGGGCTGTACAGGCACGCGGCTTAGAGGGGGGTGCCCACTAGTGCGATCTGGCCGGGTCAGGTCGGGTCGGGTCGGATCGATTTGGTAGTCAGGGCTAGTCAAATTGAGGGCGCAAAGCGACCATCGTGCCACACACCCATGGACTCGGTCGGTGACCTACAAAAACAAACGTGTTTGTTTTCAAGCCTGTGAATCACGTAACCGGGTGGTTTGAAGCCAATCACAACAAGGCTGAGTCACGTGTCTATGTTGACACTCAAAGTCCGGTGGTGCCTTCTTCGTAAAAGAGCAAACTTTGCGAACAGAGTTACCCTAGCAGTAGTATAGGGTTTTACGGCGCTCGCAACTGCTAAGAGTTACCCTACATGTGTGAAAAACAATCAAAGCGAAATAAACTAACTATGCTGTTCCTTTTCTTCTTCTGGAGAAACGAAAGAGAGTTTCAAAACAAAGACTGCAGCGCCATCTGATCCAATGCGCGGACTTCCGCGGACACTTTTTTGACTGAGAGAACAATCTTGTAATGTCAGATCTTTGATAATAGAAAGTTCTCGATGTAACTACTGTAACCATGTTTATGGGATTCCAGGCTGCCGCAGCACTACAACAGCGAACTGTGGAAAGGAACCCTGGAAGCCATTGGGGTCAAAGGTTTCTCTACTTTAACTTCCAGGTCGTCGGGTACAATCGCGGCGGGGTTGTAGTCTGCACTGAAACCACCACAAAACGACTCGACCCGACCATCGGACCCGACCCGAACCGAACCGATCTGACCCGATCCGACCCGATGGCGTCAGTGGGCACCCCCTGTGGGATCCAGGCAATATATCAGAGTTATCAGGGCACAGCCACTTCAACACCGGCCCCTGATAAGTCCACACCGGACTATTACTGGGCAATTACTGGGGGTACAAGTGAGGGTGGCGGGGGCGGCGGGAGGG